GAGCTATGTGGCAAGGTATAAATTTATAGAAATGGATTAATTTAAGATATAAGAACAGTTAGCAAGAAGCCTGCCACGGCCATACAGTTTGTAAGCAATATAAGTCTCTGTGTTTACTTGGTTGGGTCTGAATGACTGTGGGACTGGCAGGTGAGAGAGATTTGCCCTGACCGTGGGCCAGGCAGGAAAACTCTAGCTACATTAGAGTGAGACTGTGTTTGGATATGGGACCTTGACAGAGATAACTGAGGTAAAATGAGGTGATATTTCTGGGCCATAATCTACTGTAGCTTGTGTCTTTATATGAATAGATGAGGACATAGTATCACAGACTGAAAGCAAGGACATGAAGCATAATAAGGTCATCTGAAAGTCAGGGACAGGAACCCAGGGAGATGAAACCTGTCAACACCTACAGCTTATACTTCTAATCTCTAGAACTGTGTGGAAATTAATCACTGTTGTTGAAAGGACCAAGTAGACTCCATAACAGGCTGCCCAGTCTTCTCTCAGAGATCAGGCCTCAATTTCTGTTTCCTGAGACTTGAGCAAGCAGTTTCTGGGAGGGCCATGAACAAAAGACATAGTCCTTGAAGTAGCTCCCTTTCTGCATGTACTCTGACTGCTCAAGGTTCAGACAGTTGTTTACTGTCTGGGACCCCTCACCAACTTAGAGCTATGTGCATGGGTCAATGTGAACGTATGAAGCCAGCCAGCCTCCGTGGCAACTCAAGAACAGAGCCTGGGCTATGGAGTCAGCCCCCACAGTCAGTATGTGGTAGGCCAGCCAGCCTCCATGGCAACTCAAGGACAAAGCCTGGGACTTGTCCAGGCCTGGCCAAAAATGATAACTATAACCCCCAACCAGTAAATTCAAAGGTTACATAACCTCACCCAATTATATGATTCAAAGGCTTGTATCACCCTGCTGTGGTGTTTCCCTTTAAAAACCCCTCACCCTGAGAGCTCAGGGCCATCCTCCTCCATCTGCTGTGTTGAGTGTTGGACATAGACCAAGCCCGGACTTGCTTGTTATCAATAAACCCCTGTGTGTTTTGCATCGGATGTTGGCTCTGTGGTGGTCTTGTTCAGGGGTCTTGTGACATGGCCACAACATTGTCAGACTCACATTTAGCCCTGGCCAATCATCACAACCAATGAGAAAACATAATAAGAAGCTACTATTTAAAGGAGCTACCAGTTTGTACTATCAGAGCCTTACTGTTGAGAAGAAGGGACGAGGCTTGTCTGAACTTGGGAGACTAACATTGTTACTTGGGCCCTGAAGCTACTGTTGATGTCCACATTCTTCATGAAAACAGATCATCAGCTTTTGGTCGGAGGTCCTCTCCCAAGAGAGAGACAAAGCTCTTCCAATGGCCTCTCACTTCCACATTGTCTCCTCACATTGTTTTGTTGTTGTTTATTGGCTTAAAAGACTGTTATAAAAACTTGTTGTATTTGGGAGGCAGCTCTGCTTCATATTGTGAAATTACAAGGTCTTATGAGAATGTTTCTCAATCAAAGAATAATGCTTCCTTGGGGGAGTGCTAAAGTCCCAGTCTCTGGGGTCATGGTGGGATGGAGGTAAAGCCAACTTAGAGCTGGCTGTTCCTTCCATTGATAGATATGTCCACTCTGACATCAAGTTCTGGACAGGCATTCGCTCACTATAAATGGGTTCCTCATGGCCTGTTGTTAGAGTCTTAACTTTCTACAAGAAAAGACAAAAATCAGAGCTATGGCTCCACGGGCTCAGTGGGTCAGAGCACTTACTGTACAAGCATGAAAACGGGAGTTCGTTCAGACCCCCAACATGCAAGTTAAAGGCCAAGCCTTGTGCTCCAGTAGATGGCCACATCCATGCACTGGCAATACTACTGGGACCCAGTGGGCTATTTTTGAGAATACTAAAGAAGAATAAGGAAAGGAAGAGGATATTAAGGTTGGAGGGGGATATGTATACATCTATGAAATTACCAAAGAATAAGCATTTTTAAAACTAGGTGTGGCCGTGTACACATGTGTAACTCCATCATTACTGAGAGTGAAGACAGGAGGGTCCTAGCAGCTCAGTGGCCACCAATCTAGCCAGAACACTGAGCTTCAGGCTCAATGAGACACCCTGTCTTCACAGAATGTGGCCAGTGATACCTCAAGATACCGAGCATTTTTCTCTTGTTTCCCCATGTGCACACTTGGGCATGCTCACTGGTGTACACAGGCGTGTGGTCACCTCACATATCTACATGACACAAGCCACACATACACACACACACACACACACACACACACACACACACACACACACACACACACACACTAAAAGTCAAAAGTCCTAAACTTGTTAGACAAGCAAACACTGTTAGCTCTTGTCCAGATAAACGATCTCACGTGGATGATGAATTGGTGTGTGGCTCCTCTGAGGGAAAACGTTGAGAGATTTTATGAGGGGTATTTGATCTTTTCAGCCTGTTTCAGGCCAAGTAGCTGGATGAATGTTCATTTTGTTGGTTAAACCAAGTTCTCCATTTATTGTTCAAAAGGGCTCTTTAATTAGCTCCACTAGGGTGCTGGCCTAGCAGTAGGTAGAAAGGCTTACCTGTTTTCAGTTGTAGGTAGAATGCATAGCTGTTTATCAATGTCCAATGATCAGGACCACATATATATATATACACACACACATATATATATACATATATGTGTGTGTATTATGTATGTGTATGTATGTATGTATAGCTGTCTTCACATATACTTAGTGTTTGTTTTAAGTGTATAATTTGATAATATTAGTCAATTAATTACATCATTTTATACAAATGGTCACCACAGCTAAATTTAGTGTTTGGTTCCTTTTGCTGAGCATATTTTGAAGTTTATCTATGGAACAGCTAGGATTTGCTATTTCTTTTAACCAGTGAATTAGCAATTGTATGACTAGAACACATTTCATATTGTATTCATTTAATAAATTGCATTCCTGTGTTTTCATTTATCAGAGTTCTAGATGCATGGCTAGCATCTGTAAGTGCCATTATTTGTATAATGCCCACTCCAAAGATCGTCTCTTCAATAACTCAGTCTGGGACTCCATTGTTGAAGGCCAAGAGATAAATTCATAACGAGCCTCCTTCTCCAACTCTCTCCCCAGGAGCTGAGGGTGTCACCGGCACTCACCCAGCCTAATATGTGCAGAGTGGGGCATACATTCAGACTTGGCTTCACCATGAGGACCCTTATCCCAACCTTTCCAGACAATAGGGGTCTTGTGCTCTACTTTATAGTCTTAAGATCCTGCCAGGATATGGCACTTCCTAATCTCTGGGAAGCTAGAAGAAGGACAGTCAGTTCTTCATAAGGATACAAAGGACACCTTAAAATCTTTAGCCAGACATGCTGTTGCCTTTCTCCTTCAGTCGTTCAGATCTCACCCAGTAACTGTTGACATCATGCCATCATGTGCAACTCTGCAATCTTTCAGCTAAGATCGATATCTACTTCTGTCAGCAAATGTTGCCCCGCATCCCCACCCAGAACGATTGAAATAGTGAAGACAAGCTGGTTACACTGGGCAGGGTCACTTTCCGTAAGCACCACTGGTACATTTTCCTGTGACTGCATCATTTTCTGTGACCTACTTTTCTTGGCTGGCTCAGTGGTTTTTGTCATTGGAATGGTCTTGACCAGAATATGGTTGAAAACCGCTTGAGGTTAAGAGTACCAGATTGACTTGACATTGACAGAGAGAACCACGGAGCTGGAGGACAAAGTGACATCGACATCCTTACTCCCCACTCAGGATAAGTTTCTTGTCCACCTTTGCCTGGATATCCACCCTGAGTGAATATTTCACCATATAAAATATTCATGTGGATACCTGGCTATTCTCTTAATGAATGCCATTTATTGCAGTCCTTACATTTCTCATCACCTTCCTTAGTTGACTACAAATGAAAAAATAAATCTGCATTTTTAAACTACAGTCCTGACAATGAATCCACAAGCCAAAAAGCCTGTTGGAGATGCTGTTTGATCTTGGAAGTCTAAAATCAACATTTAATGAAATATGATATCAGGAAGTGACAATGGAACCATGGTTTCAAGTACACAGAGTAGAATAGATACATACTCTACTAAGTCCTCATCTACTACCCAAGTTGAGTGACGTTGATTATTCATTTAACTAGGATTTATTGGGAGGTCATTTTAAGTTTGTCTTATTTAAATTTGACTTATAAGAGTGCTACCCCCATTTTCTTTCTAGGGAATGTTATAACCAAATGTTATAAAGCAACTTCTTCAAGGTCAATAGTATGTGAACTCAGCTATATACAAATGAATTGATGTGCTTATTTCTCATAACGGTGAGTGGAAGGAACCCTGAGAATGTGGTTTTTGGATAAGACAGAGCACAGGTAGAAGACAGAACTGTAGAAAAATCACCTAAACTCAGAATACAGTCACTCCTTTAAAACCTCTGATCTTATTGTAGTAGTCAACAATATCCTTTTCGCTGTTTTCCATCTGATATGTGTTCCATAACTTACAATTGCTACTTTATATGTGATCTATTTAATCAAAGCAAAATATTCTAAATATGAAACCTCATCAGTGCACAATTATGGTAGCCAAAGCCATTGTGAGAGAAATGACCGGCTGTGCCATGTTCCTGGCTTCTCATCAGGACTTTCTGATGGTGTCATTCTTGTTTTCAAAGTTACTTGTGACCAGCATTGTATCTCATTCTTCCCTGCTTCTCCCTTAAAGTCATTTAAAGGCATTTTGTGAAAATGAATTTGAATCTAGGTGAATATAGTGTGTGCACTATACACTTTATTTAACCACCATTAAAACCTTTGTGTGAATCCAGCAATGAGTCAATATGGAGGGTTTCATAGTATAAATCATGACAACTATATCATCACTAAAATACTTTTTATTGTGATTAAATTTTAAATGGCATGTTTCTCTAAAAGCCATTTAGTTACAGAAGTGGGTAATTTTATAAGAAAAGGAATTTGATGTCTAGGATTTTCTTAACATAATGTAGGGGACAGACATTGATGAACTTTGTACTGACTCAGGGTTTATTAAACTGTCACCTAATTTGCATAATTTGATTGTTTTTTTAATCATGAAAAAATATATACATATACACTGAAGACCTTCCCCCCTAAAATGTAAAAGCATCATTACCATGTTTGGGCACAAACTTTGTCTCCAAGTGAATACCAAATATACGCTTCAGCACTTCTTCTACTTCTTCTTCCTTCAGAGTCTTCAACTCTACCAGATCTACATTGTCCTTATAATTGAACTTCTTGTGGGCAATAATGGTGCCCAATAATCCATGAACCCCTTCTTGTGTCTGCAGGGAGCAAAGAGATGTATTTACCATTACAGAGGTTGGAGCTACCTGGTAGTATGCACTCACAGTCTCGAAATCTTCAATCGTTAGAGGGTCAAGAGGAAAAGAGTAGATTTTTCGGTGGTTGCTCTTATTAAGAAGGTTAGAATCAATGAATTCTTGGTTTGGAACGTATTGTTGTCTTATAGTTTGGTCCAGGTACCAAGTTCCATTCTCTTCTGTCAAGTGGAAGATGGCAGGCACCTGAGGCTGATCCTTCCCAGAAATTAACTCTAGAGGCTCCCACATTTGGGAAGAAAATGGGAATGCAGCATCTACAATATACTTTTGGCCACTGAGAGTCACCTGTAGCAGAAGGTGAAGCATGGTGTTGCTATATTTGCTGGCTGAGGAAACATAAACACGTCCTCCCAACATTGTGGTCTCAAAACCTATCATGGTCAGAGCCCAGAAGAGAAGATGGTTTAACTGGAGACACCACCCACCCCGCTTCTTCCTCACAACATGATCAAAGATGGCCTCTAAGCTCAGCTCCATGGGTTTTCCACAATGGATGTTCAAGTTCTCAAAGGGAATAGCTCGTATCTGGTGCTGAAGAATTTCAGTTAATGTTTGCAAGTCCAGTTTGTTCCTGGGATTCTGATAACCAATTCTTTCAAAGTATGCTTTGATGTCCATGGTCCCCTAAGACAAAGAAAACAAAACAATCAAATATTACTATATTTGTAATTCTTTCTATAGGTTAGTTATCTATTAAAGTTATTTAAAAGGAAGCAAACACACAAAAACAAAATTAGCTTAAATATCTGTAATAATAATTACTTGAAACTGCTTTCACATGCTTATTTCACTTAACAGTGTCAGTGACCCTGGAGGGAAAATGTACTCATTTCTTCTATCTTTCAAGTATCAGAACCTGGGAAATCTAGATTAGATGGTAAAGTGAATGTAAGATGAAGGTATAGATGTGTTTTTCTGACATTAATAAATGGGGGCTTTCCAATTGGTGTCCATTAAACAGACTTCTAGACAGTATCTAAGAGAAACTTAGCAAAAGAACACTCAGCCTTTATGGTCCTTGACTGTCCTAGGGAGTTTAAGTCCTACATCCTGGAGTCATGAGAGAGGAAAGCCTGAAGTGAGGGGTTGCCTAGATCATATTGGCCTGTGGGCATGTCTTTGGTGGGGGTTCTGTCTGTGGTTCTGCTTCATGTCCTTTCCAGTCATGCCCTGACTTCCCTCAGTAATGGATTGTAATGTATAAGCTGTAATCTAGAAACCTTTACCTTTCCTAACTTACTTTTTGTCATAAATTCTTTAGCACAGCAACACAGATGAAACAAGGACCTTGACCACTCTGTTTCCCCTTCCCTCTGCAAAGTACCCTATTAAAAAGTTGGATATGGCCAGCGGTGGTGGCACACGCCTTTAATCCCAGCACTCAGGAGGCAGAGCCAGGCGGATCTCTGTGAGTTCGAGGCCAGCCTGGGCTACCAAGTGAGTTCCAGGAAAAGGCGCAAAGCTACACAGAGAAACCCTGTCTCGAAAAAACAAAAAACAAAAAACAAAAAACAAAAGTTGGATATGGCAGCTCTGATTAGATCAAGAGGTAAATCTTTGTTCTCCTAGCTGCTCATCCCAGCTTGAGGCCCAGGGGCACAACCAGTGCCCTCTACCCCGACCATTGCAGCCCCAGTTGCAGGCCAGCAGGCAGGACTCCTGCAGGCAGACCTGACCCCCTTACCAGACCCTGTAACCTATAAGCCCCAATCTATCCCCCAAACCTGCCCACCCTCTGAGACTGCAGCTGTTTCCTGAAACACAGACTCCATCAGTTCTGACTGGACCAAGAGTGTCTCCCTGAGACAGAGATACCATTTTCACCAATTGGAGGAAGAGATGGGTAAACACCAGTGCAAGAATACATTCAACAACATAAAGAGCAATATGACACCACCAGAACCTAGAGGTTCTACATCAGCAAGACCTGAACATCCCAGTGTAGATGAAGCAGAAGAAATAGACCTTAAAAATGACTTTAAGAAGATGATAGAGGTCTTTAAAGAGGAAATGAAAAATTCCCTTAAAGAAATTGAGGAAAAGACAAAGAAAAAATTAGAAGAAATCAATAAATCCTTAAAGAAAACCAAGAAAAAGCAATTAAACAGGTGAAGGAAACAATTCAAGACCTGAAAAGTGAAATAGGAACAATGAAGAAGACATAAACTGAGGGAATGCTGGAAATAGAAAATGTGAATAAACAAACAGGAACTACAGATGTAAACATAACCAACAGAATACAATAGATGGAAGAGATAATCTTTGGTGTGGATGATACAGTAGAGGAAATAGATTCATCAGTCAAAGAAAACACTAAGGCCAAAAAAGTCATAACACAAAATGTCCAGGAAATCTGGGACAACATGAAAAGACTAAATGTAAGAATAATATTGATAGAAGAAGGATAATAATACCAACTCAAAGGCACAGAAAATATATTCAACAAAATCATAGATGAAGAAGGAAATGTCTATGAAGAGACAAGAAGGTTATAGAACACCAAATAGACTAGATCCAAAAAAGAAGTCCTCTCACCACATAATAATCAAATCACTAAACATACATAATAAAGAAAAAATATTAAGAGCTGCAAAGAAAAAAGGCCAAGTAACATATAAAGGCTGACCAATCAGAATAACACCTGACTTCTCAATGAAGACTCTGAAATCCAGAAGGTCCTGGACAGACGTTATGCAGACACTAAGAGACCATGGATGCTTGCCCAGACTATTATACCCAGCAAAACTCAATTGCCATAGATGGAGTAAACAAAATATTCCATGATAAAACCAGATTTAAACAATACCTATCCACAAATCCAGCCCTACAGAAAGCACTAGGAGGAAAAATCTAACCCAAGGAAGTTAAATGCACCCATGAAAACACAGACAATAGATAATCCCACACAAACAAATCCTAAAGAAGGAAAACACACAACACTACCACCAAAATATAACAGGAACGAACAATCACTGGTCATTAATATCCCTTAATATCAATGGACTCAATTTGCCTATAAAATGGATACAAAAACAGAATCCATTCTTCTGCTGCATCCAAGAAATACACCTCAACTTCAAAGATAGACACTATGTCAGAGTAAAGGGCTGAAAAAAGTCTTTCCAGTCAAATGGACTTAAGAAGCAAGCTGGTGTAGCCATCCTAATATCTAAAAAGGTAGACTTCAAACTAAAATTAATCAAAAGAGATCAAGAAGGGCATTTCATATTCATCACAGGAAAAGTTCATCAAGAGGAAGGTTCAATTCTGAACATTTATACCCCAAATACAAGGGCACCCACATATGTAAAAGAAACATTACTAAAGCTTAAATTGCACATCAAACCCCACACACTAATAGTGGGAGACTTCAACTCCCCACTCTCACCAATGGACAAGTTTGCCAGACAGAAACTTAACAGAGAAATAAGGGAACTAACAAACATTATAACTCAAATGGACTTAATAGACATCTAAAAAGCATTCCACCCAAACACAAGAGAATGCAAGAGAATAGCACCCCATGGAACCTTCTCTAAAATTGACCACATACTTAGTCACAAAGCAAATCTCAACAGATACAAAAAAATTGAAATAACCTGTATTTTATCAGACCACCATGCCTTAAAGCTAGAATTCAACAACAATACAAATTACAAAAAGCCTACAAACTCGTGGAAACTGAACAATGCTCAATTGAATTACCACTGGGTCAAGGAAGAAATAAAGAAAGATATTAAAGACTTTCTAGAATTCAATGAAAATGAATGTACAGCATACCCAAACTTATGGGACACTATGAAAGCAGTGTTAAGATGAAAGTTCATAGTTCTAAATGCCTACATTAAGAAGTTGGAGAAATCTCATACTAGCAACTTAACAGCACACCTGAAAGCTAGAGCAAAAAGAAGCAAACTCACCCAGAAGGAGTAGATGCCAAGAAATAATCAAATTGAGGGGTGAAATTAATAAAATAGAAACAAAGAGAACAGTACAAAGAATCAATGAAATAAAGAGTTAACTCTTTGAGAAAATCAACAAGACAGACAAACCCCTATCCAAACTAACTAAAAGGCAGAGAAAGAATATCCAAATTAACAAAATCAGAAACAAAAAGGGAGACATAACTGTAGTTTGAAGTGTTCTTGTGTCCCACCAGACCCGCAGCCAGGACAAATCTCTCCTACTTGTATCCCAAAGCTGCTTAGTCCCGAGTAAACACACAGAGGCTTGTATTATTTACAAACTGGATGGCCTATGGCTCAAGCTTCTTCCTAGCTAGCTCTTATATCTTAAATTAACCCATTTCTATTAATCTATGCTTTGCCACATGGTCCATGGCTTACCGGTCTGCTGGCATGTTGTTCCTTGGGCAGCAGGCTGGCTTCTCTCCTGCCTCTCCTTTCTCTTCCTGTCTATCTGTTTGGATTTCCTGCCTGCCTCTAAGCTGCCTTGCCATAGGCCAAACAGAATCAATCAGAGCAACACATATTCACAGCATACAGAAAGATATCCCACAGCACTTCTCCTTTTCTATCTAATCAAAAGGAAGGTTTTAGCTTTAACATAGTAAAATTTCATATAATAGAACAATTATCAAGTAAAAATTACAATTACAATATCGTCTATTTGTATTTGGCAAAATTAAAGAAAATATTTTATCTATCTTATATTTGTGAGTCTAAAGTTTCACATCTAATTTATCTTTTATCATGACTAAGGAAAACTATAATGATAACTATCCAGTCGTCAACTACATCAAAGACCCCAGAAGGGTATAATATTACCTTAGTACACAGGAAATGCATTGTAAATAACTTTCAAAACTCTGGAATGACAGGTACAGCTGGCTGCCTGGACAGTCATCTAAGGTTCCTCTACAACACTGGAGCATCCTTCTTCAGCCTATAGGTCTAGAGTCTTTGTTGATGTATTTATTGCTTGTATATATTGTATAGAGTTGTTGTACTTATTATATATAGCTTTTCTTATATTAATAGTATATTTTTTAGACAAAAAAGGGGGAAATGTAGTGATATTTTATCTGTGTCCCCCAATAAAATTTATCTGAGGATCAGAGGGAAAAGTCAGCCACTGTAGTAAACATAGAGGTCAGGCAATGGTAGCACATACCTTTAATCCTGGCATTCAGGAGACAGAGTGTCATTCAGATCTCTGTGAGTGGCACAAGCCTTAAATTCCAACACTAGTTAACCATGTATGTCTAGAGGTCTGTACAGACAGACAGGAAGTGACAGAGCTAGACAGGAAGAGGAAGTGATCTAGCTGGGATAAGAGAGCAAATGAGAGAACAGAACAGAAAGGCATATAAGAATGGGTATATAGGAAGTAGCTCTCTTTGGAAGCTGAGGGTCTGTAAGGTGAGGTTGGCTTGTGGCTTTTCCTATTCTTCCGATCTCTCAGGTTTTGACCTGATATCTGGCTCTGGGTGTTTATTTAATAAGACCGTTTAGCAATTCGTCTACACATAACAACTGACAATGAAGAAATCCAGAGAACCATCAGGTCATACTTCAAAAACTTGTACTCCACAAAATTAGAAAAATCTAAAAGAAATGGACAGTTTTCTGGATAGGTACCACATACCTAAGTTAAAT